CCAGTCTTGTGCTGATGAAGCCAAAGGCTGGATCACAGATCCTCGGTGACCCACAGGGCTCAACTGAGGGAAGCCCCCTATTTCCCAAATCACCAGAACCCCCAGCTGGTTTTGCCAGAACTCAGCTTTGCCAGAACTCATTTCCCATCGAGCCCCGTCTCCACCTGCCCAAGGGTCTCCCAGAAGTTTCTCTGATCTCGAAAAAGGTACAGATTTCCCAAGAACTCATCTGGAAGCATCAAGCTTTGTCCCTTCCCAGGGTAATTCCTCTCCTGGGTGAGCCAGACCCGTAGGATCGAACATTTCCCAAGGACAACTCCAAAATAAATTATTTCAGACTTAACAGAGGCTGCTTAATAAATTCCACTCTTCCAGTTTCTTTGGGTATTTTAGAAACTGATTTATACATACAATATCTCTCTCAAAATGAGACAATCAACACAGGATAAAATTATTGAGTTATGAAAATAGGGGTCAGATGGAGGTGCGGCGCTTTAAATTAAACTGGCAAAATATATCTCTCACACTAAATTGACTCTTTTTGTCTTGGAAATGAATGTTTAATCAGTTAAGATGCTGAAGTCGAGGGAGAAGCCTTAAGCATATTTAATTTTGTAAAAGAAGCCTGATTCCAGTACTGTACAGGACTCCTGCCAGCAGCTATACCTTTAAAGCAGAAGAGCTGACTCCCACGCATGCTGGGAGACCACACGGACAGGGGACCAAAAGGAATTTGTGGCTTCTGGCATCCGAGCCAAGGGGGCTTGGTGTTAATGAGATGGCTGTCAAATGCCTTTGCCTTACCCACCTCTCCAGGGACCATACCCTTGATGCATCTCAGTCTGTGCAGAAAGCACCATAGGCATCCTGGTCTTTGGGGCATCCTCTGTGCCACCGGTGGCCCTGCAGCCAAACTGCTCCATCCCTTGGGCACCTGCTAAAACTGAGAGGTGCGTGAATTCTGGTTCTGTGACTTTATAACTGTGTTATATTCATTCATCCATAAAGTACCTAAACTACTAGTATCAGAACATCACTTCTTTTAGGAAGCAATAACCCCACATCTGAGTCAGGTGCCTCCTCTAGGTGCACACAGCAACGTGCACTGATTCTAGCAGAACATCTACCACCTTTTCAGAAATGGGCTCTTCACCTGTCTCTCCGCCTGCACCAGCAGTTCCTCTAGGGCATCTTGTAGGTCCAGAACTCAGAACAATGCCTGGTACCCAGTAGGCTCTCAATCAGGGCTGATCACTGTGGTTAAGTTGAAAAATGGCCCCTTTCAAGACACCAGATGCTCCTCACAGGCATAGAAAACAAACTTACGGTTACCAAAGGGGAAAGGAGGGGGAGAGATAAATTAGCAGTCTGGGATGAATATATACACACTACGTTATATAAAATAGATAAACAATAAGGACCTACTGTACAGCACAGGGAACTATATTCAGTATCTTGTAATAACCTATAACGGAAAAGAATCTGAGAAAGAATATATATATGTATATATATAGTTGAATCATTTTGCTGTAGACCTGAAAACTAACACTACACTGTAAATCAACTATACTTCAATTAAAAATAAAAAAAATTTTTTTAAAGGTATCAGATCCCCTGGAACCCAAACTTGTTACTGTGTTGGGGGGAAAAGTCTCTGCAGGTGCAGCTCAGTTAAGGCTCTTGGGATGGGGAGGTTATCCTCCTTTATCCCTCAATGCTCTAAGTGCCAACACAAGCATTCTTATAAGTAAGGCAGAGGGAGAGTTCGCCGACGGAAGAGGAGGTAATGTGACGGCAGGCAGAGACTGGAGGGGTGCAGCCACAAGTCAAGGACAGTGGCTCCCACAGGAAGCTGGGCTCTCCAGGGGATGGATTATTTCCCAGAGTCCCCGGAGGAAACTCACCCCTCCTGACAGCTTCATTTCGGCCCAACGATATAGACTTTGGACCTCCAGCTTCCAGAGCAGTGAGAGAATAAATTTCTGTTGTATTTAAGCCACCGAGTTTGTAACGATTTGTCAGAGCAGCCACAGGAAACTAATACAATCACCTACCAGCGCTGAGCCTCCATTTCCTCACGGCAGTAATTCCTGCCCCACTCCGCACTCAGAAGCATTACGTGAGAAAATGTTTGTAAAACACCCACCGTCCCGCCCCCGCACAGTGCTTGACACCACGTGGGCGCTGGCACAAATTCCAGCATCACCACACAGCATGCACGTCCACACACACACACACACACAGACATTCACCTGCAAGCTGCAGCTCAGACAAACTTAAAACAATTGTCTTTTTAAGGGGTTCTTGTCTCTCCTTGCCAGGTCATCCCAACCAATGGACACATTCTTATCTGGTTTCCCACTTGGTTTGGCAGCCCTCCCCTGGGTAAGATAGTTTAGTTTATCTTTCATTGCATAATGAGGGGATATAAAACCCAGCGAACCCTTGAAAACTCTCACTAATGGAAGAATTAAAGCTATCTGAATTTGTGAAGCATCTTAAACACGAGCTAGCTTTAAAGAAATCTGGAAAATGACTGCAAAGTGCCTATTTGGACCAAGCCCAACAAAAGTATTTCCCGGGAGGAGCGATGGGGGGTCATCTCTGATAAACAAGAACATCCTTTGTAATTATCAGAGCTCTTATAACCAGGTGGCCCTACCAAGGTACCTGGAGTATCTTCAGTCTGTCCCCTTAGGTAAATGAGACTTATGGGAAACATTGCCATTTGGTTACAGTGGGAATTCGTTTTTACTACTAATAATAACAATAGCAAATATTCCCTGACTGTTTACTCTCTGCCAGACATTTGCTAAGACTTTCCATACATTATCTCAGATACACATCACTGCAGTCTGGAGGTGAGTGCTCTTATGATTCTAAGACAAGGGGACTGAAGCTCAGGAGGTGGAACCAGGATCTGACAGGGGTCTGTGGGACACCAGAGCCCACACGCCTAACCACTATCCCACACTGTCTCCAGTGATCACCAGTATCACAGGCCAGTGATACTGTGGCCCAGAATGGCAGCCAGAAACTCCCCTGTGTTCACAGGCAGGTGTCTGCCGGGCTCTACCCTGGCCTGTGTTACCATAAACCTCGAACTGGGACGGTCTGGAGTTGTAAAGTTTTTGTTAGGAAATCAGCTGGGCAGGCAGCTAAGGTAGAAGCATTCTAACAAAGTGGAATTAAAACCACACGGCTGTGGAATCTGCCGGTCTCTTAGAGGAGAGGAAGCATAGGACCTGCATTATTGACAGGCTCGTTCCTCAAGCAATGGAGCGTCAATTTCCATTGAGCACTTTGGTCAGACCCTGCACAGTATAAGACGTGGGGCATGAGTTGGCTTCCTCTCTCCCACCCTCCTCTCCTTTTACGTCTCACCTAGCTTCAAAAAATAGTGATGTAGCTCTCAAAAATGCATAGAGTATACCAGATTTTTTTAAGCAAGAAAATTTGATGGTAATAAGAGGAAAACAATAAATAAATAAAATATAATCAAGATTAGCAGACTATGAACTGTATGCCTGAAGGCCCCAGGCATCTGCTAGAATTGGGCCATGAATTTGGCTGTGGCCTCTGAGCAGCCTCTGCAGAGATAAACATGATCTACCCAACACCATGTGATTTTGATAGAAAATCAGTTAGTGGCTCCTCCTCCCCTGCATTCAGGTGTGTTTGTGACAAAATCAAGGATTGCTTCCTCCAGGACATAGTGGTTGGTTCAGCCATGCTGTGTCATGTTCCCATGCAAGACCCAAACTGCCACCTGCTAGAGACATCAGGGAAGATGTTGGCTGCCAACGGCCATCATACCTGCTGTGCAGAAGTGGGGATGAGATAGGGCCCTAATGATACTGCTGGAGTTCCTGGATCCAGCCATGCCTAAAACCCTCTGTCCACCCCTAGATATTTCAGTCTTTTTCGCTTCAGCTTATTTGAGTTTGATTTCTGTCAATGAGGAATGAACCTAGTAGTTGTGATTTGCATATCATATTAACTGTGAAGGAAAAAGCAAAATGAAACACACATCACAGTCATTTAGGAGAGGTACTAGAATTCCCTTAAGATTTTTCCCATTATACAAAAAATTCTCTACTGATTTTTCTAAAGGTCTTGATTGTTCACATCAGCCATTCATGCTGAAAAATCCTACCTTTCCTCAGCATGGGATTCAGGCCCTTCATTATCCAGGCCCTGCTAGCTCTTTCCCCTCCCCTCTCCCTCTGAGGCTCCACATCCTTTCTCTCCAGCCTGATTAAAAGAATGAACTGCACGATGCTCCTGAGAGGGACGTAAGCCCTCGTGCCTCCTGCTTTTGTATATGCTGCTCCCCTAGCCTGGTAGGTCCTTTCCTGTCCTGTTCTGCCTGCCAAATTTCCACCTATCCCACAAGCTCTAACTCAGTAATCACCCTCTTTCTTGCCAACTTAAGCAAGAGACAATATTTTTAAAATGATATGATTCCATTTATATGAAATCTGCAGAATAGGCAAATATATAGAGACAGAAAGTAGGTGAGTGGTTGCCTAGGGCTGGAGGACGTGGGGGGAGTTGGGAATAAGGGCTAAAAGGTAGAGGGATTTTTGGGGGGTTGATGAACATGTTCTAAAACAGACTGTGTTGATGGTCACACAACTCTGTGAAGATACTAAAAGCTACTGAACTATACACTTTAAATGGGTGAATTGTACGGTAGGTGAACTGTATCTCAATAAAGCCTTTAAAAACTAAAAACAAAGATGAGATTATACTATTAAAAATAACAAGGCAAATAATACTGAGATATTATATACAGAGCTTCAGAACTGAGGAGTATGAGGACATAAATTTCCCCCCATGCCCACCCCCCATGTTCTGCAGACCCCCACATAAGCAACCACCTGAGCCCAGACCCTCCCCACAAGCGGAAGATCCTCTTCAAGGCGCTGACATTCTGTTCCCCTCCAACCCCCTCCCCTGCCGTAACCAGCAGGAACCAGGGCAGTACAGGGACTCACCGTGGGCAGCTGGCCCGATAGCAGGTGGCTGTCCTGGGCCAGCATGTTGGACACCATGATGGCCGGGAGGTCCATGGCCTGGTAGGAGTAAGCAGGCAGCAGTCCGTTGGGCGCGAGGCCGTGGCACAGTGAGTGGTAGCCGGCTTCGTGGTCCCCCAGGTGCAGGAGGGGTGGCTCAGGGAGGTTGGGAGGAGTTATTGGGGGGATCTCATAGTCTTCGTTGCTCTCGTTCTGGCTGTTGTAGGTCTAAAACATCCAAAGGGCATGTGGTTGGAGGTCAGTGTCTTAAACATGCCTAACAGCATTAGTAACAGCAACAACCGCGATAACCCCCTGGCCAAGGAGAGAGGAGATGATCCCTCTGCAAGGCACGCGGTCAACAGGTCCGGCCAGACTCCTGCCCCATCCCCAAGTGGGCGCTTCTTCCTCCCAGAGGGTCTGTACACAAAATCCTGCCTCCCGGGGAGTGGGGCCAGCTCCCGTTCACCTGTTCTTCCTGTTTTCCTGAGATCTGGCCACCGCAGCCCACCATGAATCCACCTGTCCACACCCACCTGTTTTACAGATGGGACAACTCGGCTCCAAAAGGAAAGCTGCCCATGCAAGGTTAGTAGCAAAGCTGGGAGTGGAGCTGAAATACCCCGACTCCCTACCCAGTGGTCTTCCAGGGCAGCTGCACCACTTTCTCCTGTGTGTTCCCAACACCCAGCCCAACGGGGTCCTCTCTTGGTCTTTCTCATCTTGGTAAATGGTACAAACATTCCCCCAGAAGCACAAGCTACAAGTCACACTGGACACTGTACTCGCCAAACATTATTTGTTCATTTTTCTCACCTCACTGCGCTGACCAGGAAGCCCCGGTACATGTTGAATAGAAATGGTAAGAGTGGACACCCTTGCTTTTCTCCCTTAAGTATCTCAATATTTTACCACTAAGCATGATGCCTGGATTGGTTTCCACAGGTATTCTATAAAGGTCAAGGGCATTCCTTTTTCTTTCAATTGTGCATCGATTTTTAATTTTATTGAACTCTTTTTCCCTGCATCTACCAAAAGACTCAAATGACTTTTCTATTTTAATTCAGTTAATGTGGCAAATTGTTACACTTGGTTTTTCTTTTTTTTAATTTTTATTTTTTCTAAACATTTTTTATTGAGTTATGGTCATTTTACAATGTTGTGTCAAATTCCAGTGTAGAGCACAACTTTTCAGTTATACATGAACACACATATATTCATTGTCACATTTTTTTCACTGTGAGCTACCACAAGATCTTGTATATATTTCCCTGTGCTATACAGTATAACCTTGTTTATCTATTCTACATATGCCCATCAGTATCTACAAATTTTGTACACTTGGTTTTTCTAATGTGAAAACAGCCTTGCATTTCTGGAACAGACCCTACTTGGTCATGATGTTATTAGTTTTATGCATTGTTGGATTTTGTTTAGGATTTTTGCTTCTAGGTCATGAGTGAGATAAGCCTATAATTCTTCTTCACACTACTCTTGTTGGGTTTTGGTACCAAGGTTAACATTAGCCTGGGGAATCATCCCCCCTTTAGACCTAGAGAGATTAGACCTAGGAGAAGAAACACGTGTGAACTGGAAGATGGATCTGAGAAAACAAGACAGAGAAGTTTCAAGACATAGAGGACGATGTGAGGGTCTCTAATGAACATCTGTTCCAGCAGCATTCTGGAGGGAGAAGAGTGAGAGGATGGGATAGAGGAGTAACTGAAGAGATAATGGTTGGGAATATTCCAGAACTGATGAAGGACACCCAAAGCATTGGTGAATATGATGGTAGATTTTACAACAATCATAATACAAAATGTGTAGAGAGGGGAAAAAAACATGAATCCACAAAGCATACAGGAAATAACATCTAACACCCTTGTGTTCTTTGGTAAGTTAAGAATGTGCATTACAATAAAGTCCTATACAGTATCTGGTTCCTGGCAGGTAGGCTCTCAGTAAATATTTGTTGGATGAGGTCGCTGGGGGGTGGGGATGGGTAGGACTGAGTGGAGGTTTGGTGAGAGTGAGGATCACAAGTATCTAAAACACCTGCTTGGTGTCAACGCCTTTCTCCTTGGGCACCTGTGGTTTGAACCTCACCACAATTTCTGCAGAAGAGCCCTAACTGCCCTTTATATCCATGGAAACATGCTCTGAGAGAGCCTTGTCACACTCACACCCAATCCCTTGGACCCAGAGCCCAAGCCACCTCTGGCTCACTGACTCCCTCTGCAGGGCTGTTGTGAGATTATTTCACAGGTAGACAAGCAGTTTAGAGCTTTAACTTTTTACACTTACATAGCTACCAAAGGAATAAAGTCAACCACAAAATAAGAATCAACAGAATGCTGGCCTGAAGTTTCAGAGACATTAAGGGACTTCCCCAAGGACACAGGACAAGTAAACAGCAGCTCACACACTCAGCAACCTCATGGTCTCCCCTGCTGTGAATGTCCGTAACTCCTCACTCCACACTGTGCATCGCAGGGTAAAGCCTGGCTTCTGTCTGACCACCGAGATGGGCTGGGGGCTGATTGCCTTTAGATGGTATCATATCATATTATCTGGGAAAGCAGAGTCCCAGGAAGCCTCCCCCAGCCCCCCACCCATCCCACAGCAGGACTCCCCTCCTCTCACCACCCCCACTCCCCCTCCTCAGCCCCTCATATGTGCTCCCCAGAGTATCATTATTGCCTGCAATGATCTGTGACTCTTCAGCTTGTGTCCCCTGCCCCCAGACTCCATGAGGGTAGGGGTTAAGACTGTCTTGTCACCAGGGCCTGGCACACCGTAGGTGCTCAATTAGAATGTGATGAATGAGCTCATGAAATGGGGTGGGGGGTACACGAGGCTTTGGATTTAGATCTCATCTGGATGTTTCCATGTCTGTCCCTCTCACAGACTGGAAGTCCCTCAGTCACCCACTGCTCACGTCTGTGGACCGCTGCCCTCTTCTCTGTCCGCTCCACCCACAACAGGTGCTGTCGCGTGGCACGGGATGGTGAATGCCAAATGACTGCCCAAGTCCATGCTTTTCACTTAAAAACCAAAACCTTCACACACTGGAAGAGGCCCAAATGCCCAGAAGCCTTTTGCAAAAATAAGCATATGGTAAATCAAAATATTGGAATCACACAATGATGACAATTCATTTAAAAAGGCAATTAGCACGTTTAAAAATAACTAAACATGCAAACACATACATGCCTCCTCGGAATGCAATTAAATCCTAAATGCAGGACACCTGACTACCTGCCCAGCCTGCTACAGACTCATCCTGTGTGCCAGCCACTGGACCCGGCACTTTCACGCTCACTCTCCATTCACTCGCTATCAGCTCTGCAAAGAAGGGACTGTTCTCTCCACTCTGCAGGCGAAGAGGATGAAGCTTAGAAAATGGAGGGGGCATGTGGCTAGTAATTCTTGTGAACTCAAACCCAGGTCTTGTGACTCTGAATCCATCATTTTCCCACACTGGGTCGGAGACCTCTTCACCTCTTCGAGATCCGTATTTCTCACTTCCTCTAAGTAAGAGATGGGCCACTCAGATGTCTAATTTGCTCTCTAGCACCAGTGTGCTCATGAGAATACAGAAAGAGATGCCAAGTTGTAAGAACTCTAGAAGTGAAAAATATTAGCAAAACCTTACAGGGAGACTTTTGCAAAAATTTGTCTCTTCCTAGGCACCCATCCTCTCTCAAGCCCGCTCCAGTTACATTTTCACTCCACCACCCACCCAATCTGTCTGGCAAGGTCACCAATAACCTCCATGTTACTAAGTCCAATGGTCTGATCTCAGTCCCCACTTGCCCACCTTGACCTTCTCAGCAACATCTGACATACTTGGCCACCCCTTTCTCCTGGGAAGAGATTTCTTCAAATGCTTCTAGGACACCACAGATGCTGACCTTCTGAAATCACAGGCTAGTTCTGCTCCATGTCCTTTGCCGGTTCCCATTCTATCCCCCAACCTATTAATGATGTCACAGAGCTCAGATCTCAGACCTCTTCTCTAAACGTACTCACTCCTTGAGGATCTCATCCAGACTTGTGGCTTTAAATACCATCTGCTGCTGCTGACTCCCCAGCTCATATGTCCAGCCCAGACTGCTCTCCTAACTATAGATTCATAGAGCCCAATCTTATTTGACAGCTTTGTTTAGATTTTTTTTAATTGAAGTATGGTCAGTTTACAATGTGTCAATTTCTGGTGTACAGCATAATATTTCAGTCATACATATATACACATACATTCTTTTTCATTATAGGTTACTACAAGATACTGAGTATAGTTCCCTGCCTTATACAGAAGAAATTTGTTGTTTATCTGTTTTATATATACTAGTTAATATTCTCAAATCTCAAACTCCTGATTTATCCCTTCCCACCCTCCTTCCCCACCGGTAACCATAAGATTGTTTCCTATGTGAGTCTGTTTCTGTTTTGTAGATAAGTTCATTAGTGTCTTCTTTCTCTTTAAGATTTTAATAGACACCTTGAACTTAACATGTCCAAAAGAGAACCTATCAATCCATGGAATTATCCACCTCACTGAATGGCAAGTCCATCCTTCCAACTGCTCAGGCCAAAAGCCTTGGAGCTATCCTTGAACCCTCTCCTCTCACCTCCTACACCAAATTTGTCAGGAAATCTATTGGACCCACCTTCAGAACAGATACAAGATGGAACCACTATGGTCCAAGCCATCATTTTCTTTACCTTGAATGACTAAAATAGTCTCCTACCTGGTTTTCCTGCCTCTGCCCTTACTATGGTCTGTTCTCACTCAGAGGCCAGAATTATCCTGTTAAAATGTAAGGCACATGAAAAGATGTCCAACATCGCTAACTATTAGAGAAATGCAGATCAAAACTACAATGAGGTATGTCCTCACACCAGCCAGAATAGCCATCATGAAAAAGTCTACAAATAATAAGTGCTGGAGAGGGTGTGGAGAAAGGGGAACCCTCCTACACTGTTGGTGGGAATGTAAATTGGTGCAGCCACTATGGAGAACACTATGCTGGTTCCTTAAAAAACTAAAAATAGAGCTACCATATGACCTAGCAATCCCACTCCTGGGCACATATCTGGAAAAGATGAAAACTCTAATTCAAAATGTACCCCAATGTTCATAGCAGCACTATTTACAATAGCCAAGACATGGAAACAACCTAAATATTCATCCACAGATGACTGGATAAAGAAGATGTGGTGTATAT